TCCTCTATATATTTTTGTGTTCAGATTCACCTACTGGAGGTCTATATTCAACGAACGCAGACGTCATCTACTCATTTTTAAGTCTCGTCTGAAGTTCTAGGTGCTTTTCGCTCCTGATATAATGCATTTTCTCTAACATTCTCTCGAGTGTTTCAGGGGTATATGTTGTATCGATTACTGGTACATCACTGTAATCTATTGAATTTTTGCCCTGTTCATAATCCACGTTTTATGTTTTGTCCACGACGAACCACCGTCTTAGTGACCCCGATCGTCGTCGATTTTGCTAATTGTTTTACCACTAATATATAGCGCTTTCCGGTGTTTTCGCCCTCCTATAGCTGCTCCTTACCATGTTTTCTTGTTTGTTTACTCACCTGTACCCTTTATTTTTGATGCTTCCCTCTCGTGAATCGTTATTAGCCTGTTTGCCTGTGCATCCTATAAAACGCCTTGTCGCTTTCTACAAGAAATTGGATGGGATTTCAATTATCTCATTATCAAAAGAACACGTGCGGGACTCACATGTACTATTTCGTTTCTTTTGTTGTCGATGCTCATTATCGTACGGTAACAGAACTCGTACAGCAAATCTTTGTTCTTCTCGCGCTACAACTCGCCTGATTCGAAATGGACGAGTTCTCATGCGTAATAGTGTTTTTGAAACTCTTTCTCATAATTTCGCCTAGACGGCGGCGGTTCCCGTGTCCAAGCCTTTTACATGCTAACGTCGTCCCTTTATTCTCGAGTTTCATGTTATTTTTATATTGAATAACGACTTTCAAACTATATGGTTGTATAAAACTGTAATGAAGTTTTTAATGCATCGAATATCGAGTTCTTTCTGAAATCTGATGTTCTATGGTTCTTGGCCATATGTTCGTATTCGAAGACATCATGAAATGGATGAGATCGGTCGAGGTGGTGGAGACATATGCTTGAGAACTTGATCGAGCCACTGAAAACACAGTTTTAATTCATTTCTTCTCTTGACTATTTATTTATGTCAAATCGGTTTTGTATCTCTCAAAATCTGATTTCTGAATTGTTTGAATTTTTCTTCGACAGAGACCTTGCATATGAGTTTCGGTCAGAATGGGTGTAATTTAATTCATATTTGTTTGTTAATCCATTTGTTTACCTGCTTATTTAGTTATTTAACAAAATTTATTTATTTATTTATTTATTCGGCCGTCAAATTAGGCGTATCTGCATCTCGGCAAAGTGCCAAAGGCAGAAACATCGACCCCGTTTTTCGCAACTGTACCTTATTTTTATTGGGTTTCACATGAGGAAGGAGCTTATCCGTTGAGATACTTATTACTTCTGTCACATTCAAGGCCGAAAACGTCTCCCAGATAAGAGGGCAATAACCCATGAGTTGAATCTTCTCCATAGTGGGTGGTTTCGATACAAGTGCAAAAGCGGCATACCAATTAGTAGGTATTCATCAGATTTTTCACTTTTTTCCGTCTAGCTACTGTTGTCCCCTTCGAGTTACTTTTCGGCTAACTTTCTTCTATTTACCCTTCATGGATTTTGAAAAAAGGAACAACCTACTGTCAATGGCGCATGCAGATGGATTTCGATCCAGCATGGAGTTGAGGTCACGTCTTTACGTTGATATTCAGCACCCCATCCTTTCACGAACGACATCCGAATAATAGTCATCTTCGTAAGCTCGTATGATGCATCGAATCCACGTGTAGAACATTCGGCAAGTAACTGAAATGGCATGGGAGAAGTTAAAATGACTGGAAGGCGTATAACTTTTAC